GGGGCCTGGCCTGGCCCGGCCCGGCGCGACTGGGGCAAGGCCGCCTGACCCCCCGCCGCCCGTCCTTCTGTTGCAGATGAGTTGTTACGGTCTAACTTCACGATGTCGCACTGAGAGGTTGTGAGCCATGGGGGAGAACAGTCCTGAAGGCAATGTTATCTACTACGAAGTGGAGGAAGACGATTTAGCCCAAGATGACAATATGATGAGGTTTGCTGATAAAAACGGGCTGGTTTCTTCATCATCTGGGACCGTCTATGACAGGACAACTGTTCTAATAGAGCAGGACCACAGTGTATTGGAAGATGATGAGGATGAAGGACAATGTGGTGATCACTTGCCTTTTTTACCTGAGGGTCATGAAGAAGGATTTCATTTAATAGCAGATCATGAAGGAATGTCCCAGGGTTATGTGCAACATATTATTTCTCCAGATCAGATTCATCTAACAATAAATCCTGGTTCAACTCCTATGCCAAGAAATATCGAAGGAGCAACGCTCACTTTGCAGTCTGAATGCCCAGAAACTAAACTTAAAGAAGTAAGTATCTAAATGTGATTCTGAATTTTATGCTTATTGTGGTTGCTTTTCACCTGATGACCCTAAATGCTTTGAAAGTGTGTGTTGCTAAAACTGCTTGCTGGGAGGAAGACAGAAGTTTCCCTTGTTCTTAAAGGTTACTGTGTAACAGAGCGAATTGCACTCTGTTAAATCCACTGTTACCGTTAGTAACACTTTGTACTGATTGGTATAACTGTTTCTCACAGTCACTTAGTGGGTCAGCAGCAAAGCTGTGAGCATTGTTGATCTTCACTCTAAATACTCTGCTGCTTTCGTGTGAGGCAGCCAGGAAGCGCTTTTTGATGTGCAGTAACACTAGATAGCAGGAGAGTATGATACTGAAAATGAGCTTATTTTAGCAGCATATGTGATTTTCATGGTCTTTTTCATTTGCTTGGGAAATTGTTTCCCGAGTTCAGAGATAACTAATAAGAACATGAACTCTGTTAGTCTGTGGTTAACCACATTCTTGAGAAAAGGTCAGCTGAGTTGCAGGTTACATTCCAGACCGTTGGCAGTAGTTAAAGTATGAAACTTAAGATGCTGAACTGAAAATTAGTTGTAGCCTTATTGCATCACTCACAGGGAAAGCTGTGAGAAGAAAATTAGGGAAGCTTTAAACTACTATCTGTTGTATTTTGAAAGCTCAAGTCAGCTTACATACTTAAAATGGTGATTACTCTTAATTCTCTTTTCCTAGTAAATACTACCTGCATGCAAAGAGTTGGGGGCTTGTGCAGACTGCCTTGGGGTTCTTGCTTTTTAGGTGCAAAAGCAATGCAAAGTTGACTGAAATACCAACACAGAGACAACTTTGTGGTTCTTTTTTGGCCTTTCTGAGTTAAATTAGGGAGTATCTATACAAGAGCCTGTGCTAGTATCAGTGGTAATAGTATCAACTAGCTGTGTAACTGATACTCAGTGTAAGAGAGAATTGCAGAAATGAGCCCTTGCTGAGAAAGGAAGCCGGGTTTGAATGCTCTGAATAATTTAGCTTAGCAGGGAACCTTCATTATCGCTCGCTCGGCAGTGAGGAAATGGGACTGTAGGAGATCAGCTCTGCAATTATGAGACTTCTGGACTCAGGTTTGCTCAATAAGCCCATTTAAATTGAAGGAACTCCCTTTTGCTCTGTTATTATTTGTATTAGCAGCCGCTGTATTCTACCTTCTTAGCTGCTAAAATATTTAATTTTTGTATGTCAGTCATATCGGTCCTTTCTTTTCTTTTTCTAGGGTGAGCAGCTCGTGGTCTGTAGCATCTAGAGAGCAGTGTGTACTGGCTAAGCAGGTGTTGATGGCTGCACAGGCAATTAAACTGATTTTATTTCTTCACCCCTCCTTTTAAAAGAGAATTGTAGGACCTGGAGTTTCCTAATGAAATCCTTTGCCTGAATTTATAATTGGAGTGCAGTGGAAATAAGCCCTAAGCATATGTGACACTCTTCCGTCTTGTAAAAGCCCTTTTTGTCCGGCTGTTTCAATTGCTTGATAAGTTCTCTGGGGATGGGAAAGCCCTACAATCCCTGAACATTTGGTTCATCTCTAGAATGATCCAGTTATTTGATACTTTCAAAACATCTGTAGCAGTTAACTGTTTTAAAGTCTTAAATTGTCAGGACAGCCTTATACATTCTTGAAGCAAAAGAGGGCTTTACACGTCATTAATTACCTTTAACTTCCTTTTCTTATATTGTGCTTCTCCCGCTCTAATTCTGTCTGTAAGAATAAATGTGATTATAGTCTTTCAAATGTGATTATAGTATTTCAAATTTCCTAATTTTTTTGTTCAATGATGACAGAAAAATTATCAGTTTAAGTGGAATCTCATAAGCGCAGATGAGTTAAAGGCAAACTGAACACTTTAAGTAGACCTTGGCACAGCGTGTCAGGCTCTGCTTTTGCCAGCCTTGTTGGTTAATGGACAATTAGTTCCTACTTCTAAGGTAAAAGCTTAATTCAGACTCTTCTAGCTTCCCTCTGGTGCGTCTCCGTGGGAGAGACAGCAAACTGTCCTGAGCAAAAAGCGTATGTGGTGCAGCCATGGCCTTTGTCTTCAAAGCAACTTGTTCTGTATGCTTCCAGTCCCAGCCATCTGTGTGTTTTCCTGCTGCTGCCATGTTTCTTTTTTGCTGTTGCTTGTGAATGGCGATAGTCTTGAGTACTTGCTGCTGCAACTGCGAGTCTTTGAAGGTCAATATCTTCATAATTTTACATGTATAATCAGTGCTTATTTGATGTGCTTATGTTCCTAATGTGAAAAGAGAATTAAATGCTTTGCTGCTTTACAGAGGGTTTTATTTTGCGTACAACATTGTAGTAGTATTGTTTCTGCCTGCGGAATAATTTTTGAAATAAAGATTTGGTCTTTGAGGAAAGGGGAAGCGCCGGAAGGCCTTTGTCGTAGTTAAGGCCATAAAACTGAAAGTGGTACTGCCATCTTCCTTTAAATATGTGCATTGGCAGCTAGGAACCAAGTCCTTAATTAATATTATCCTCCTCTTTCACTTCCTAGACCTAAATGTAAACAGCTAGAAAGCTTAACAGACTCCTCACTTTCAGGTATAGTTAATGTCTGTGTCAGGTGGCTTGTGTATTACAGGAATTACTGTGGAATGTCCTGGAATGCAGTATGTAAAACATTCATTCCCATCTGCCTTAAAACTCTAACAGGGGACACTTCAGTACTGGTACCTGCATTGTACTGAATGTGATGAGCCCTGGTGAAGATCATGTGCCCCTTCTTGTCTGATAAAACATACTTTCTGACCCTGTGTCTACTCGCGGTCTATGCTCTTGGGTTTTGGGACTCCACACAACCAAAATTCTTAATTATGTTGTAACTGTATTGTAATGCTTGGGTATTTATTCATAAGGAGCGGCCCTTCAGCAGGGCAAAATATTTTAAAAAAGAAAAACTTTTGGGGTTTTGACAGTACGGCTCCTGACCTGTAGGTTTTAATAAGCCCTTTAGTATAGGCAATTTTCTCTCAGTCTTACTAGGACTTATTTCTGTGCTCTGTGTAAGGATCTCTTGTATGTCTGACCTATGTGAATAGTCTCCAAATACTAAGGTTTTAACAAAGGAAGGTGAAGGTAGATGCCAGCCTGTTGTATCAACAAGAGACTATGTGGGTTGAAACTACACAAGAGGTTACGCAGCTCCTATATACTCAGATTTTATAAAGCTTTCTTAAAGGGGTCCTACGGGCAGTTTTGTCCCCTACAAAATAGGTCGGAAGTAACTGAGAGGCTTTATGTCTCTCTTTCTTATGGAGAGCCATTTAGAACCCAGATTTTACCTGGTACGAGTCAGTGCCAGGGCACCGTATGACACATGAAGCTGTTGGATTCTGATTGGGTTTAGTGAACTGAAATCCCTGCACTTACTGACGAGCTCGTTTCCCAGGCTACCCTTATTCTAGAGGTGATCTAGGCAGGTAGGCCCTGGGTCTGAGTAAACCAGTTGCTCCAGCTCCGAGACGCCTGCCTTTGTGCTTTAGATCCTCATTCTGTAGTTGCTGTTGTGAAGGCATTAAACCTGTGTACAGAGAGAGGAGTGAAAACCTGCAATGAAATATCCATTGGGTGCCTCCGTTCTTGGGTACTCGATGTAGGATCTTAAGGCATGCTCTTAAGAGGAAATGCGGAGTGCACGTGGCTCAGACTGACACTGCTCAGGGCTGTTACCTTGACTGTTTGAGAAACAGAACCTGAAAGTGTGTACCTTTGGGCCTTAGAGCACTGATATGGTCTTCAGCAGCACCGACAACTGAGCATAATAAAGGATGTGTTCCATATCCCCTTGGCTGTCCTCGCTCTGGTGCCGTTGTAGCACAACAATAGGAGACAATTTTTGGACAAAAATCAAAGGTGTTTGAGAGTAATTTACAGATCTCATGGTTTTACTGATGGCCCATTGTTTTTCATTTATGTGATGCTACACAAAGCATTAATTGAATTAGTTACTTTATGGAAGGATTAAAAATCGGTTCTTAATTAAGCACGCCAAGAATGATGTGATTTTGGTGTTACTCCTACTTAACACATCTACCTAAATTCCTGTTCTTGTGAGAGGAGCATGACTTCAAATAAAATGATTTTATACTTCCCTGACAGTAGATCAAGGTATCCCATGTTATTCTGTTCTCAGCTGTGGTAGTAAAGAACTGTGATTATCAAATGCTCTTTCCTGATGGGGCTATATAAGGAACAGTCGTTGAGTTGTGAGATGGTTAGAGATTTGTGTGTTACACACTAGTTATGTAGTGTTCGTCTGACTCTCCTGGTATCAACCCCCCATTCAGTATCTGGTATTCTGGAAGCAGAGTGCAGCCTCTTCTGAGCAGGAATACGAGGTGCTGTCAGACAGGTGCTTTGTGCCTTGGAAAAGAGGAAAATTGCTGCTTATGTCTTGCTGCACTGTCTTCCTGACTAGTTGTTAGAGTGCTAAACCTGCAAGTTCTGATGGCTCTGTTGTGAGTTTGCATTGCCTTTCTAAACATTTCCAGATCGACATCTTTTGGAGTACTCTTCTGCTTCTTGCCTGTCAACTATCAAGTCCTCTCTTGAGCTCTGTAATCACTTTCAGATGCTCAGGTTTCTCAACCGCAGCAGTCAAATGAAAGCTGTCAGTCTGATAATTAATGATGAAGATAAATTTATTCAAGCATATCAGATGGCTTATTCCTTCTGCTTCACAAGAGAGAATGAGTTTAATTAAGCGTTAGACTTGCACACTGGAAGCTTCTACATGGTCTTTTTCTGCCTGTTGCGGAAGCTGGGAAGGCTACCAAGTTCAATGTGAAAACGTTTCCTGGTGATCTAGACGGCTGGCTGAGAAATCCGTACCATGTGTTTTTTTGGTGTCAAGCACCTTGCTTGGTTCATTACACTTCAGGCATGGACTATTGCAGTAAACACAGAAGAGGACAACAAAGCACAATGAAGGCACCTTTTGAGATAAATAGCAAATGAACTGATGGTTAGACCATGGGAGATGGTGAAAACTAGAATTCTCCACGGTGTTAATGGGAATTTGGCACACGGGGCAGTACTTTTGAGGCTCGGGTTCTGAAAGTATGTTTTCCCCTGTCTTCCTCCTCTACAAATAAGTAGCTCTGCTAGAAGCACCCAAATGAAATGCAGGTGCTACAAAGTGGATAGGTTTGATAATTGGAAAGGATGCCAAGAGGCTATTTTATCAGATTTTTAGGTAGAAACATTTCAGATTGGTTTTCCTTTTTTCCCCTTCTGTTAGATTACTGTTCGATAAGGTCAGCTGTCAGCATGCTTTCCAGTGTGTGCCACTCCTTCCTCATGCAGTGCAGCAGAAATATTAAGAAATCTGATAATTAAATGGCAATGAACTTTTTTTTTTTGCCTTTGGGGTCAAAATCTATTTCATTGTCTTTGATGTTTAACTGTAGTTCTACCCGGTTTGAATTCCAGAAAGGCTTAAAAATTAAGTGTGCAGCATTTTGTCTCTTAGGTGAAGAGATACCAGTGCACCTTTGAGGGCTGTCCGCGCACCTACAGCACTGCCGGAAACCTGCGCACTCACCAAAAGACACATCGTGGGGAATACACTTTTGTCTGCAATCAGGAAGGCTGTGGCAAGGCCTTTCTTACCTCCTACAGCCTCAAAATCCACGTTCGAGTGCACACGAAGGAAAAGCCGTTTGAATGTGATGTGCAGGGCTGTGAAAAGGCATTCAATACACTGTACAGGTAGGAAGTCTCTGCCTAGTTTGCTCGTAGATGTGGCTGCTGCTGTTTTGCCCGTTGCGTCTACTTTTTGTTTGTGTCTGACTACAGTTGCTACACTTCTGCCAGGTACAGATATGAATATAAACCCCCCACAAAACGTGCAAGTGTGATACCAAGAGTAGGATGACAGAGCCTCTGATGACATACTTGGGTTATTTATATTACAGTAGTGTTGAAGGTGGTGCACAAACACAAGGAACTGTCAGATTTGCCTGAGGACTTCAGCGGTGCTACGAGTTACCTTCATATGCTAGTTCCCTCCAGTGCAGAATAAGTTATGCCTTAGACCTTGTCCTGCACATTTGATGAACGCCTTGCCTGCCTCAGGGAGGGGCTGTCTCACCCTACAAGTCACCAGAGTGATTTTTTTAAATTTTTTGGCATGCTTTTCAGGTTGAAAGCACATCAGAGGCTTCACACAGGGAAAACATTTAACTGTGAATCAGAAGGCTGCAGTAAATACTTCACAACGCACAGTGACCTGAGGAAGCACATTCGGACACACACAGGAGAAAAGCCATTTCGGTAGGTTGCTGGGTGGCAGTTTTTACTTCTGTGGGTTTATGTAGTGGGCTGCCAGTGCCAAAACGCAGCTATTGCTGTCCTGAATGAAAAGCTGTTTTCATGAGAACAGAGTGAAGGCGGCTAGCATTTGAGCATGTTGGTTCTAGAGCTGCCTCAGTTGCCTGTACAAGTGGGTGAAATGACTGTCTTCAAAGGTGATAGTAGTCAAGCGATTGTTTAAATGTAAATGGGTGCCACGATGAGCCTGTTCTTAAGACCTATTGCTGCTTCTCTGCTGTGATGCAGTGTTTATTCCATGAAGCAGGGCCCCCCTGTGCTGACTTCACGCTTGAATGTGACAGTGCTGTTCAAAGCCCAACTGTCTGTGTAGCACATGGGGCGATGCCGGATTTCTGCCACAGATTGGCAGTAGGCCTGCTTCTCAGAGTCCTGGGACTATTACTGAGCATGATCTAGGGTGGTAACTAATGCATCAAAGAAGCCTAATGCTAACTCTTCTGTGATGCCTCATTCAGGTGTGAGCATGATGGCTGTGGAAAGGCTTTTGCTGCAAGCCACCACCTTAAAACACATGTTAGGACACACACTGGTAAGTCCCAACGGTTTGGTTTTTTTCTTTTGTTGAGCTTATTCAGTTTATACTAACTCTCAGAATCCTAGTATGTATTTATAATTCTGTATGATATGCGGGTGACACCAAGCTGAGTGGTGCAGTTGATGTGTTTGGGGGAAGGGATGCTCTCCAGAGGAGCCTTGACAGGCTGGGGGGCATGTCCATGTGAACCTCATGAAGTTTAACAAGGCCAAGGGCTAACTCCTGGGCCTGGGTCAGGGCAATCCCTAATATTCCATCTCTGCACTTCCATTTGTGCTTGACAGGTCTTGAATTCCATGAGCGTTTCACGAATGGATCAGTAATGATGCATAAAAATTCACTGTTGTGTTCTTGTCAGCTCAGGTGCTGAAGTGGAAGTTTATCTGCAAGACTCCCAAGAATGCTGAATGCATCAAGGGGCATTAAATAATCTTATTTGTACAAATACACCACTCTGTGTGCTTTAAAAGTACATGTCTCGTACAGTGTCTCTGAGTTTGTTGTGTGTTTTGTGCTGCCTGCAGGGGAGAAGCCCTTCTTCTGTCCCAGCAACGGCTGTGAGAAGACTTTTAGTACACAATATAGTCTCAAGAGTCACATGAAAGGGCATGAGAAAGGACATTCCTATAATGCACTTCCCAATAACAACGTGTCTGAGGTTAGTGGCACTTCTTCCTAATGCTTCTGTGTTAGATGGAGATAACACCATTTCAGGAAAGAAATTATTTGGTCTGTAGCTTGTTCTAAAGGCGTAACGTTTAAGGCTGGGGTTTTCAAAGGGAATTGTAACTACTTGGTGCCACGTCTCCCATGAAGAAATCCATGGGTGCCTCTCTTGAACGGAGAATTCAGCATCAGTTCTGAAATTGCAGGTGTTCAGCATGGCAGCGTAGGGGTGGTTCTCGCATGCTGTGTTTGTGATGTGCTGATAATAAGCAGGATTTCTGAAACTTCTAGTGTGGTATTTGGTTACCGAGTTTTATTTAGACAAGCTCATCTTTTCATTTTCATCACATTAAAATTAATGCTTGGGCTACTGCTGCTTTGACGAGTATGCCAAGTACTGACATGAGCTTATAGGTAATTGTATATATTCTCATGCTGCCCCTGTAGATTCTTATGTGTTAGTACTGTGTAATAAGTGTGTGAGCTAAAATAAATACAAACTGTTAAGGTTTAAACTTTTAATTTTCTACAGTCGGATTTGTTCCTGTGCCACTATTAAATTCTAGCCTATTTCATTTTTATTTTGAAGTGATGTGATAGAGGTGTTAAGAATCCTAAATACCCTTTGCTTCGTAATACCACAGAATCACTAAGGTTGGAAAAGGCCTCTAAGATCATCCAGTCCAACCATCATCCATACTGCTCCTGTGACGTAGAACTGAGTCTTGGGTCACATATAGCTGAAAAAAATTCTGTGTAGACAGAATTGTATGGTCTCTAAAAGGTAAAATAAAACATTTCTGGCACTATTTTAAAAATATATAACTCCATTTCTTTTTCTTCTTCACAGGATACAAGCCACTCACTTTGTCTGAGTGATTTAAGCCTCATCTCGACAGACTCAGAATTGCGGGAGAACTCGAATCCAGTGAGTCACTGTCCCGGAATGGCCTCACCCGTACTTCGGGTTTTGCTTTTTTCTGGCCACGTGCTTGTCCGGTCAGCTAGAACAGGAGATTAGATGTGTGTGGCTGGCTGCTTCTGTATCGCTTGTGCAGGCCTGCAGCGTGCTCTGCGTCAGGCTTTCGTTTTGCTAGTGGAGGAGACGTGCTCTTTCACAGAAAAGTGACTGGGTGGACTTGCTTTAAGTGTGCTGAATATGGCTTTTTTGTGTATTTTGAGGTGGTTTGTAGGAGGCTTTATTAACAAAAACCTGTGTTTCCTACAGACCTTCTTGAGCCTGTGAATGTGATATATTATTGCTGTCCTTTTTGGAATGATGGAAATACAAATAAGTGTTTCTGTCTAAAAGCAGAACGGAGGGGTTTTCCGCCAACATCCTCAGTGCTTAATTCAACCTGGTTTTAAAGGCTTTGCTTCTGATTTTACTGTAATAATTGTTCTTGCTTATTGATAACAGTTGACTGAGCTTAAATTTTACATGGAGAATTATACTGATGAGACCGTGTCATTCCTTTGTGCTTCCCCGTGGAAGCAGTAGACAGCTTTCTATAATGTTGTCTTTTCCTAGAACAGCGGGTGACAGTAGTGCACAGTCCAGGATATAATCGAAGCAGAGCTGTTTTGTTTCTGCTCCAGAAAAGTTTTCACAAACAGCCAAGAACAAATTAATGTCAGTTGCTGACAGAGTATTACAGGAACTAAGGGTTAAACAAAATGTGGATGCAGAAGAACGTGCTTTCCTTTCGAAGGACGTACTTATTTTCATAAGGATTTGCTGATGGTGTTGGTAAATTTGATTGTGGGTAATAGAGCAACTGTAATTTTACGCTAGGCAAGTGAAATATGTTGCCTTTTCTGAAGGTGGCTGGTTAATTGGAAAGGTATTTCTGACATTCATGTGCTGCTTGACTGGGATTTGTGCAAACTTTAAGGAGACCCGAGATAATGTTAGCTCTTGTCTTCCTCTGTTTTCTATTTGCCAGACACATGGACAAGACCTTAGCACAATCTCACCAGCAAGCATCTTTGAGTCTATGTTTCAGAGCCCAGATCATACTACAAATCAGGACGACTCTCAGCAGACAGGTACAATTCTATCCGCACTGTTTTGGAAGAGCTTTTTGATAGCTTTTTCCTCCCTCTGTGTGTATGTACTTAATTCAGCATTTCAGACTGAAGATTGCCATCCAACATAAAGTTCTGTTTGCCACCTAAGGTTAAGTTCAGCGTTGAAATTCTGTGTATTGAAATGCATTGGGTTCACGGACGGTGTAACGCCCGGATGGCGACAGGGGAGCTGCCTGGGCACTCAGCATTCTCTGGTACAATGCTGACATTGATGCTCTTGGGCTTCCCACATAAGTGTTGTTTTCAAGCTTCCTCTCGTGATGAAGCTGCACAAATCCACTCATAAAAGGGCTTCTTAGAGCTAATGAGGCTGTTCAACTTGTGTCTAGTGTTCAGTATTATTAGCTTCCTGAATTTGGAGCTGCTTTTAGATTTCACTGTCTAGTGTTACATGTTTTTGGAGTGCTAGCCTGAAGATGCGTAAGTAGGAATGCTTTATGTAACAGAAATCCATCAGCTAGCTGGCAAGTTCATTGAAAATGTTGTTTATTCAGATCTCACGAGGACTGATGTATTTTTTCCTTTTTTTTTTTCTGGCAGCTGCCTTGATTGAAGGTTTTAACGGCGATGCAGAGTCAGTCACTGCTGTTCCGCCTTCTACAGGAGACCCAGCATCCCTGTCTCTTCCACTTGTACTGCAGCTTGGCATCTCTGAACCTTCGCATTCAGCACTACAAGCCTCAGCAGCAGCACCTGCTGCTCCCTCCTCCATAGGAACCAGCTCACAGCAAGCTGCATTTGGAAATCCTGCAACTGTTTTACAGTCCCCAGAAGTGCCTGTCCCTCACAGCACACAGTTTGCAGCCAGTCACCAAGACTTCCTGCAACACACTCAGACACCACCACAGCCCATCGTACAGGGACTTTCAGTGGTTGCTGGGGCATCTGCCCCAACAGCAGCGAGTGCCACTGAGCCTCTACCAGCTGTAGTTCAGACTGTGCCTGTTGGTGCGAACCCTGTTCTGACCAGTAATCCAACTATAACAATTACTCCTTCTCAGAGCACTGCTATTTTGCAGTCCAGCATTGTCATGGGAGAGCAGAACTTACAATGGATCTTGAATGGTGCCACTGGTTCTCCGCAAAGCCAAGAACAAATGGTTGGTATATCCAGCACGGCTTTGAAACAGCTTGAACTCTTTCCTCCTCCAGTCCTTGGTTTTGGAAAGGAAGGGGATCTAACGTGTAATTGTAAGATGCAGGATTGTATAATGCTTATCCTGTTAATAGGTGTAAACACGTCACCAACGAAACCTCTAAACTAGAGAAATAAATAGAAAATAGAGAAATCCAGGGTGCATGAAGTCTTGCTTCTGTCTCTTCCCCAGTGACAGACTTCTCACTGCAGTTGGTTTTTCCAGGACAGTGTACCATGTGGCATGAGAACATACATGGGATTTAATCTATTACTTTTGACAAGTAGAAGCATAAAAGACTCTGGGAAGTTTTGTTTAGATATTTTGTAATCTGTCTCTTCCTAATTTAGCCTGATAAAGATAATGAAAAGTTTTCTGGAAAAACAGGATGTTTCTGGTTCTCTGGTAAACCTGGCTAGCTGAGAACTGCAGTGTTTTATCTTTAAGAATACTGTTGCACCTTTAGACTTTCTGGGTGTCAGATGGTCAAGAACGAATCGCTGCAGGTACAGACAGTATGAGCAAGCACAGCACTTCAGGAACACAGTCCTTCAGTTGTCAGAAACCACACGCTGTGTTAACGAGCCCGTAGTGCGCAGGGTGATTACTCCCCATCTTTCGGGCTACTGAAATAACACTGAGTTGTGGGAGAACCAGAACATAGCCCAGAACAAAATGTTCTGATTTTGGTATTGGTTTCCTGTGTGTTCTCTTTGAAAGGTGTGTGTAGCTGTTTCTTTTGATTACAGCTTTTAGAATGTGAAGAATAGAAATTTGATTGGAATCAACTCATGCTTTTTTTTTTTTTTTCCTTTTAAGCCACAAGTTCCAAAAGTAGTAGAAAAGGTGTTTTTTACCACTGCATTACCCGTAGCTGGCAACACAGGTAAGCATGCTTGACACTGAACTTGCTTTTCTCACTGTTTGCAGTCTGGTTAGCTTGACCAGGGTTTGTGGTGATTTTACTGATCGCAGAAAAGTTGAAGAAAATGCTTTGAACTCTTCTTTTTTAATCTTCCTGAGGGTTTAAGGGCAATCTGCTGTAGACTCGTAGGTTTGTGCTGAAATCTCTCCTACAGCAGTTTCTCTAACAACTTGTAAGATAATCAGGTTCACAAATTAGATTATTAGATTCTTAAAAATAGTATTTAAATGGAATTTATCTAGAAAAATAAAAGACAAGTGCAAGGACATAATTTGGGTTTTGTTCTTTTAAATGAAGATGTGAAACAGGTAGTAAACTGGGAAATTTGGTCAGTTCAGCGGTTGTGTTTGGTAAACACTGTCTGTGAGACTCATCAGTGCGGTACACAGGTGTGGGAGTTCTGCTCCATAGGATGCTCCCTGCACAGGGTGGTTACATTGCAAAGATGAATCACTCAGGGGCAAGAGAAATTGGGTAAGTTTCAAACTTAAATTTTAAAGATGGAGGGTAGCTGGACAGGTAGAACAGCAGAGGAGGAATGAGAAGGAAGCATGAGCAGCATGAAGGGGGAGGGAAGCAGACTAGAGAGGATGAACAGGAAAATGCCTGGGTTGGTGTCAAGGAGTGGAATTGCTGGTGTAATGTTGTACCATCGTTTTCCAAAGATTGGTGCCTAGGGACTGGGGCATCGGAATGCCACTTCATTGGATTTTATGCTGTAGAATTTACAATGGAGGTCAGAAGAGACCTACTGTGCCATGTAAAAAGAATGTAAATCGGACTCGTAATGCCTGACTTCAATCCGAACAGGTTGCTCATCAACAGAGTACCTGCTACCTTTTTCTTATTTATTATCTGCTAGAGCTATTCACTGTGCTTGGACAAAGTAAGACGTAATCTCTGCTGCCAGGGGCATCCAATCTAACTTAACAAAGATGATTTATCTCTCCCTGCTGTGAAATTATGTAGTTCTGTTGTGTTTTGTCTTGTTTCACTTCAGGAAACCCTGTTCAGCAGATTGGTCTCAGTGTTCCTGTCATTATTATAAAGCAGGAGGAGGCCTGCCAGTGTCAGTGTGCCTGCCGAGACTCTGCCAAGGACAAAGTCACCATTAAGAAGGAATGTTCCTCACCTGATTCGAAAGCTTTGGAGCAGCCAGCTACCCAGCTGCAGCCTCAGACCCTTCCTTCCTCTTTGCCTTCATGTGGGCAGAGCAGTCAGATAGTTAACCCTTCAGACTCACAGACTGAAACGTTAAGTGCCATGGATGTATCGGACTTTCTGTCCCTCCAAAGCCCTGAAACCCCATCTAATATAATTCCAATTGAAGCACTACTGCAGGGTGAGGAAGAAATTGGTTTGAATAGCAGCTTCTCTAAGTGAAGATGTTCCAGATTTTCCTTTGCACCTGGAGGGTAAAACCCTCCTCCTTAGAAGCAGAACCTGAAGGATCGATTCTTTTTCCTTCCTCTTCGGAAGTTTTGTGGCTTATTTCTGCTTCACAGATGTCATCGTAGTCACATCCCAGGTACATTCATCTTTGAGAATCTATCTAAAAAAAAAAAAGAAAATGAAAAAAAAAGCTAAGTTATATATGAACTGTTTTGGCTGCACTGTCTGTCACTTTTGCTTGTCATATGTGAACACAGAAATTAAGGTTACTCGTGTGCAAAAAGATTTTAAAAAGAAAAGGGGGGGTTAGTTTGTCTCCAATTGCACATCACTTATGTTTGGGATTAAGGTACTGGCAGCAAGTGGGTCTTTGTTACAACCCCTTGGGTCTATAATTGCTTGTCTCTCCTGTCTAATACTAACCATGCACTATAAGGGGAGCCCAGGGAAGGAATCCGCTGTGGTAGGGAATGGCATTGTCGTAGAACATGACTTATTGGAATGTGACTGTCACATCACTGAGTTGGGAGCTGCTGCCTGGGTTTGCTTTGTGCTAACGCTGTTACTAAAGCCTACAGAAACTTGCGTGGAGTTTATTTCAGTAGAGCACACGTACCTTGTGCTCTGAGTAGATCTGTTCATTTAATTTCATTAGGACTTAGAAGTGTGGTGGCAGACACACTGTTTCACAGCCTGGAAACACAATTGGAGCCCCTGCTTCCTCAGGCTCAGGGGTCTGTTTTCTTTGCCTCTCTTTGGAGGATGCAGTGAATCCCAGATGTAGTCGGATTGGTGCCTCTGCTCTTTTGATTCATTTGGCTGTGTTCAGAACAAGTCATTCTCTTCAGCAACCCTGCGACTCTTTAATCGGGAGCATGGTGCCTTTGCTGGTTACTCTCATCTTTTGTCAAGAGCAACTCTAGGAGAATTTTCAGAATGATTCCAACACAAATTCAGTTTGAATTCAGTGAGTCTATCCTTCACCTATCCATAAATGCTTCCTTTTTTTTCTGTTAAGCTATATAATTTCTGCCTGAATCTGCCTCCAACCTACTGCAATGCCAGCTTTTTGTGCACGGGGCTATTTCTTGACTAAAAGATGTTACACAACATAGTAGTTTTCATATCAAACTGAAAGTCTATATTCTAACCTACTCAGGGTAACTAAAACACAAACCCCCCTTCCACCAAAAAGCCTGTAATGTTGCAATAAATGCAGTCTCATTCTAAATGGTTTATTTATGCTGCATTATTTTAAAAGATGTGATTTTTATAGTGTTTTATCCATCTTTCTGGCTTTGGCTGTCAGTCTTTTTATGTTAAAGGAAGGAATATTAAATAGTCTTTATTCAGTTTACAGTGTTGTCATTAGTGAGATACAAAGATGATGACTGTAAGCCAATTAACGTGGAGTGTCTCTGCGCACTAATGGTAGAAATGCAAACTCGTAGAGGATAGAGGACTTTCGCTCTTTGGATTTGCTCAAAGCTGCCCTCTGTTCCTGTTGGGGGGAGAACTGTGTGAGTGTGGCTGGACCTTCCCAGGATGCTGAGCAGGATTTTTAACCCTCCTGTGACATGGTCTGCATAGCCTTACTGACACCACTGACAGAGTCTTAGTGGAGGTGGTGGCTTAAGCCATCTCGCGTGCTGTTCCCTTGCGAATCTGCTGCGACAGCGCAGGTGGAAATGGGCTGAAGGGATCTGGCTTGTCACCTCCCTGACAACTTGCTTCCAGTTGTGATGTGCAGAAGCGTAAAACTGTCCTGTGAGAGAGGAGACCGTGCAAAGAATGCTTTGTGCTTGGAAGGTGTCCTGTCGCTCTGCTAGGGTCGAGTAACTGCAGTGACGAGCTCGGGGACACCAGCTGAACGGAAAACGCGCTCGTTGTGTTTCCTCTCTGCGCGCTGGCGCGTGGTGCAGTGCTGTCACATTGCTATCACAGTGCTGTCGCAGTGGGGATGTGGGTCCTGCAGCAATAAGGTTTGCATCCACGGGATGCAGGTTGACAAAGCGCTTTGTTTGGTTCTTGTAGAGGCAATCCCTCGACAGCAGCGAGGTGGTGGCCCCCACTGGTTTTTCTCCCACAGCTTTGTTGTGTGATGCGGTTTGATCACACGTCAGCAAGAACTTCAAACTCAAAAGTCTTGAGCCTGTGTGGCTGGGACTGTCTTCACAGGGATGTGTCTCCTGCCAGCTCCCTCACATAGGGCTCCACTTCTGGGGAGTGGGAGCGGTGCCTGGAGCTGCATGGGGGGTCTCCCAGGGCACAGGCCACTGCGAGGGGCCTCGCGCCTTTCCTGTGCCATAGCGCAGCGGTGGGATCTGCGAGTGGATGTGTGTGTGAGTCTGCTAGTGCAGGAGCATGTAGATTCCCCTGGAGCTGCAGGTTTTTCTCTGATGGGAATGTGGGTACCAGATGTGGCTTGAAGTGTGGCAGCTGGGGGGCTTAGTGACCTCTTCTGAGCCTTTCCATCCTTCAGGGAAGCGCTTTTCCATGATACTTTTGCTATTTGTGACTTAGTCCGCCTGAAACATGCTCGTGGTCAGACCAGATAGCATCTTCAGAAACTCCTTTTTGACTGAAATGAGTAGGATAATCTACCAGAGGCTTTGAAATGGGAAGCTAATTTGGAAATGGGGTGATTGGGAGCGGTGGGGGGTGCTGCTTGCATCCTTTCTGGGTGGGTGCCAGGTTAACCTCTCTGCTGTTTACTCTTCACAGCTACTGTTTTCTGTTGGTGTGTCCTAGGAGGAGCAACATGTTCCAAGTTCATGCTGACTTTCAGGTGCACTAGGGTCAGGCAGGCTGCAATTTAGGTGAAACCAGAGCTTGCAATGAGGCAAGAGCAGCTTGATTCTGCGACCAGAGCAGCTTGATTCTGCGAAGGCCACTGCACCGAGGCCTGTGCATCCCACCCCGTTGCATTGTACAGGTGCGCGCTTTCGCTGTTTAGTCGCTGGTCTGCTTTCCAGATTGTTCCATGCTGCATGTACCTGATACGTTTCACAGCGAACGTTTGCATCATCCTCAGTGCTGTGTGGTCAGACGTCGTGCTGCCGGGGTGGTCAACGCGCTGGGACGGGGGGAGGTCCAAGGGTAGTTGCAGCAAAGCCCTCGGATTCCTTGATGCCGGAGAATTTGCTGTCCTCTCCCCCTTGTTGCCCTGGGCATTTAGCATATTCACAATAACACTTTTAATAACCCGGAGAGTTTCTACCGTTGTAGCTCTGGTAAGACGTTGGATTCCCAGGAAGGGGCTTGTTCTGTTAATAGGCTGGAGCCTCCGAGAACGGCGTGCCCTCCCTTCTGCAAAATCTGCATTTCATGAACCCCTTTAATGATCAGTCAGAGAGCAAAACTCCGCTGCTCTGGGTCGTTCTGTGTTAAAGGTTTTGCTGTTTTGTGGCTTGTGGGGATTTACTTGGTTGCATACAGTTTCTAGATGGGTGCAGGAGCTTGAACGTGTCGAGTGGGTCAGGTAGCTCTAGTCACCAAGCAGTGACCTAAGCCAGCAGACTTGGCGTGCAGTTGAAGGCTGTAGAAGTTGCTTTTCATGCTTGTAGGTGGTAGAGGGATGGAAAATCAGCACTGTTTAAATGCTGGTCCTGAATTACATAGAACAAAGTATGAACTGGGCACTTCTGTAATGCTGACTGCGTCCAGAAAGACTAGTTTGCAGAACCTCATACTGGTATCTAAAAATGCACTTTAGGTTATTTTATCTTTAACCCAATTGCTGCAATTTCTTTTGTATATACTTTCACAAAGTTTATTTTTGCTCTGAGTAAAAGTTAACAGGGGTGTGCAAAGATGAGCACTTAACTTGGTGCAATACTTGTAGCTAAAGATCGTTGTCCCGTGTGGTCGGTCTGTCTGTGTCTGTCTAACTGAATATATGTCGTAACAAGCTCAGTGACACCCTGCCCTTCCTTCCCTGGCGATACCCAAGAGAAATTATGCATCATTAGCAAACGTCCGATCTATGCAAATACTCCACTGAGAGCACTGTGCTTTCGCAGGCCTTTTCTCTCACGCTTTCTGGTGGGCTGCTTGTCACTTCTGTTGGACACAACTGTGTTCCTTGGTGTATATCCTTTCTCCTCCCTCTGTTCTGCCACACGAGTACGAACAGAAGTGACGAGCTCTTCTGAAACGGGCATGTTGCACCTTTAAAATTTGTCTTCGAGATCGTTTTTGATGTCGTGTTACCTGCCTTACTTCGTGGAGGATGGCGCTTCTGCAGTCATCCGGGATACTGCTTGTGCAACTGCAGCAACACTGATAAACTGTTTACAGTCCTCCTCCTGCACCAGTGGTAAATAAGGCTCGGAGAAGGGGCTGTGGGTTGTGGAACTGCGGGGCAAGAGTAGTGACGGTGTAACTGACCTTGGAGCCGATGGGAGGTGGAAAGCTGTTCCGGATCCGAGGGGGGAGCGCAGCTGACAACTGAAATGAGAGGCAGCCAGGTCCATGATGTAGAGCAGACGGGATTTGGTGTCACCTTCTTTGTTCTGGCTGGCTGTGAGGCCTCGGGCACGTCACCCTAACCTCTCCGTGCCTCCGCTTCCTCCCTGTGAAATGAGGACGATGAAACCTGTCTCTGCAAAGTGCTTTGAGATCTGTGGGTGAGAAGCCCTCGGCATGAGTGATCTGACCGAGCTGGGCAGAACTTTTAGAGTCAATTTGGACTGTAAGGCAAAAAAACAAAGTATGTCTTTAAGAAACCCTACAAATTTCTGATTGCGTAGTTTTTAATTGGTACACTATTTTTTCAGTAACATACTTTGAAACAATGTCAAGTTTTTATAAATGTTACCTGTAGTTAATACTCATGGACAGGGCTGAACTTTTAACTTTTTTTGCGTCTTGTCTTGGTATATATCCTATGTTCTAGAAGTTGGGTTCTGTGTCTGCACTGAGAAATGCAAATTAAACTGGATATTTATGTAGTAGTGTACATAGTCTAAGTGTGTGTGTTCTTGGAACTAGTTTAAAAATCCCACACCATGCTTTTGGTGGTGTGCAAGCTGGCCAAAATTTGGTTCATTATGCAGTGTACACTTTCTCAAATAAATGCAGTTTCTACTTTTTCTTACAAGGAATTCTTTTCATACGATCTTTTTTCAGCAAAATCAAGGGTATGTTTTTGCAGTACCGTAGTTACAGTAGCTG